GAAGCCAAGTCGGACGAGAATGAAGACATACTATTGTTTTACATTAGATAGCTCTAAGAGCCCTGTTAGAATTGTGAGAACAAAATCTTTATCGAAGAAGACAGAATAGAGCTGAGAAGATGGAAGTAGGAGAAAATGAGGGCCAAAAGTATTTTGTGTGCAGAGGAGTCAGGAAATAGCAGGATAGTTAGAAGAAAATATGTTCAAAGTTCTTTGGTCTGGCTTGATTTTTACAAGATGTTACTCAAGACTAGTGTAATGCTGATACTTATAATCTAACAATCATTATACATGGTATAATAAAATATGATAAATATTTAAATTTTAACATCTTAACATAAAGACATATTGTCATTAATCCTCCCTCAAAATACTCGCCATCACTTTGCACTTTTCTGATCATTGCTGCCACTTGATGAAGCAGTTCCGAAAGTCCTCTTTTGCGTCTTTAATTCCACTGTTACAGCTACCTTAGAATACTGAATTCATTTAAAACATTCAACTTTATCGATTATTTTTTACTTTGAGGAAAAGCCAGAAGTCACAGAGTGCAAGATCCCGTGAATACGCTAGATGAGGATATGTTACAATACTTTTATTTGACAGAAATCACCATAAATGTTTCATTAATGCAGAATATATCAAAAGGTACAGTAAATGATTAAATAATTTATTACAGTAAAGACATTTTTCCATTAATCTTCAAAATACTCCTTTATTTATCACATTGTTTTTGGCGATGTGTCTATCAACCAGCTAGGGTGCTGATTCACACCTGAATCCCCCAGCACTTGGGAGGTGAGGCAGAAGGACTGCTGCAAGTTTGAGGCCATACTGAACTATATAGCAAGATCTTGTCTAAAAAAAAAAAATAATAATAATAACCATTTTCATCATCCCCTGCATATTGATATAGCTGGACAAGTTACTTAAATAAAAATGAATGGAACCCAAGAAACAGATGATGGAAGTTGCTATAGATGATTAGTTACAGCAGTTACTCTGTTACAGTAAAGGCGACAGCACCAAAACAAAAGCATATGCAACCAGTGAAGCAAAGCTAATAAGCAAGTTATAATATGTTTTCTCTCTGAATACATCATGAAACAAAAATCCTCTGGAAAGTAAAGAATGGTTAGGGAGGGGCTGGGGATTTAGCTCAGCGGCATAAGCGCCTGCCTTGCAAGTGTGTGGTCGTGAGTTCGATCCCTGGTACCAGTAAAAATACAAAAAATACAAAAAAAAAAAAAAAAAAAAAAAAAAAGAATGGTTGGGGAACCTGGAGACTGGAGGAAAGAGAAGAGTATTTAGCATCTTTCCCATTGTCTGGACAAATTACTTGATTTCTGCAACTTAAAAGAGGAGAAGTTTATTTTAGTTTACAGCTTCAGTAAGTTCAATATATGATAGGCTGACTCTCAAGTATAAACAGCTTGGTGAAAGGATCTGAGGGAGGAAAATTGCACATGTCATAGCAACCAGAAAGCAGCAAGAGAAGAAAGGAGCAGGGACAAAAATACACCCCTGAAAGTCACACCCTGTGGCTCACCTCCAACCAAGACCCACTTCCTAACAGCACATCCAGTTACTGACTTCGCCAATGAGTACTGTGCCTCCTTGACCTAATCAGCTTACAAACATGTAAGACTTTGGGGGGATATTTTAGACAGAAGGCAAAACAAGAACATATTAAGCAATCTTAATTATTGGAAATTTGACCAGTGAAGAACTGTAGTTCTGTCTCATAGTGATAAACCTTCTGGTAAAATTTTAATGATATATTTGAAGAAGTTACTAAGGGCAGTATGGTGAAACTGTACTAGCACATTTGCTTAGACTTATATGTGGTAAAAGAGGAGGGTTTACCCAGGCTGGGAGTTTGGTCAGGTTAGAAAAATGGGGACAAATTAATTAAATTTGCAAATGAATTGCTTAGTTTTTGAACAAGGATTCTAAAGAAAAGAGGTTGAGGAACAAAGGTTTAAAGTCTTACAAATAGAAAATAGTAGCTATTAAAAACTTTAATAAGCTTGAACAATTAGTGAACTAGTAATATGCAACTACTTTGAAAAAATAGGATCTGGTGGTGCAGTGGATTGATAACTGGTGATCAACTTGTAATACCAGCTGAACTGAATCAGCGTGGTGCGGGATGTGGATGACCATCTGAGAATTGTTGCCAATATAAAAGGGAGAACTGGAGAAACAGAAGTGGTGTTGCTGTTTCTCCATGGTGTTGTTGGTTCTTCTGTTGCCTCTGGTTCTCCTGGAGGAGCTTGTCAAGCATCTTTCCTGGTATGAACTTGGCTATTGTCAACAGAAGAGCTTGGGACCTTGTTGTCTCTGAGAATGTCTGTAGTTCACTTTGGGGGAGCTCTGGTCCTCACTTGAGCACAGCTTCCTGGCTCTGGAGGAGAAGATGTGTGCTGGTCAGTCTCCTACAGAACCTCTGATGCTGGCTTCTTGATATACCCTGCAGTTCTCAGTGTCAGAGGGGCTTGAGAACTCATTGCTGCAGATGGATGTTGTACTTTTCAGGGAAGCCCTGCTGCTTATCTTGAGTGTTGCTTCTGTGTCCAGTGCAGAACCCTCAGGCTGCTGGCACAGATCTTTCATCCCCCTGGCACAGACCTTTGCTTTCAAGCTTCCACACTGACCTTTGCGCCTTCCCAGGGCAGATCCATGAAACAGACTTGGATGAGACATTGTCAAGGGCTCTAGGCCGTCAAGCTGGACTCATGCAGGTATTGCCACAGGCCCCAACTCTCACCTGGGTTCTTTGGGTCTTAGCGTGTGAATGAATTTTCCACACTCTTTCTTTCACATTTGACTTTTTGGGCAACTTTTATAAAGTAATTCTATGAATTATGTGTCCTGGATTGTCTTGTTTTCCTTGCAAACGCTGACTACAACAGGTGATCAGAAGTGTGAAATAAAAGGTTTATCAGTTCTCTGGGTTTTGAGTCCACCCTATATCTATAGCTTGAGCAGCTCCACTGTCATAGTTACTTTTTACTCGTCACTGAGACAAAATACCTGAAGCCCACCCAAGTTAGGAAGAGAAAGGTTTATTTCTTACAGTTTTTGGAGGTTTCAATCCGTACTCAGTTGGCTCCAAGGCGGGCATAGCTGGGCCACAGTTCATGGTGACTGCAAACAGCAAGCAGGAACCAGCAAAGAGCAAGACACCTTCTTCCTGCCATTATATCACATCCTAGCTCCACCCCTTTGTGGGTGTAGCACTAACACCATCAATCCAAGCACTAGACAATGAACCAATCACAAATGCACAATGCAAACTCATGAGGCCTGGGAGCCACAGACATAAACCATGATACCCACACAACAAACTATGCTAATTAAGAGTGAGAAACAAGAAGAGAGTTGTTACTGAAATACATGTGGATGGATTCTAACCAGACTAAATCAACAGATAACAGATATAGGACAAAAGTTTCCTCAGTAACAATTATCCCAGGACTTCAACTAGAGTGAAGGGAGAAAAAAGTTCTCCTTCACTTAGAGTGCCACCCCTGATTGAATGTACCCATTAGGAAGTGTCTGAAAATGAGAATCAGAGAACACCAACATAATCAGTTTATCAAATAAAAATTTAATAATTAGCAACATAAAAATCTATAGCCAAAAATTTTCTAAGGGCATTAAAATAGAAGGTCTTTGCATTTATTTTGATGTTTTTCTTTTTCCTTTTTATTTCCCCTGACTTTATCTACCCTTTGGCAGTAAAATGAATATACCAGTGCTACAAAGCCCACTGTCTTGTAACAATAAGTAGATGCAAAAACTGTCTCTTTCTTGAGATCTCTTTATAACTAATGACAAAGCCCTGGCCATTGACAGCCACCTGTTCAACATCCCAAAACTCTATCATAAGCTCATTTCTAAAACATTTATTCCTGGCACAGAGAATAGGACCACTAAGATTGACTGAAAACAATCTTAAAGGAACTTCCACTTTTTTTTTAAATGAGTAAATGTATGAAAAAGCGAGAGTTGTTTAAAAAAAAAAAGCATATGTGTAATTAGGAACATGCTGAAAATGAGCCTGTTCAACAATAGCGAATAAAGATTCCACAGAAGAAAACAGGAAAATTTATAAGAGGGATGGTCACAGACATTATTTCCTAGGGGTTTTAGATGACATGTACCTAAGTTGTTTTCATGGTAAAACTTCACATGAATTAGGTTGTACTACGTGCAACTGAAAGTTCACTGGATGGTAAACATAAGCACTCCTCCAAATCCGACGAATCTTTATTTTTTTATGTATATGGGCTATAAACCTAGAGTTCTATAACTGTTCTATAACTTTTCTTACATAGTCTCTTTTTCTTACTTATTGCTTTATGCTGCTCTCCTAACTTGCTATTGTTCTGCCTTTTTTTATATCTATCTCCAAAAATCTTGACTACATCATGTCTATGTTCCAATAATCATCTCTACTTAAAACATGTCTGCAAATTCTTAATTTAGCATGATTTCTCCTTCATTTTCACTCTGGAACAATGCTCTGCTCACCATTTAAAATATACATGCACCTTACTAAAATATAGATTTGAAACAGTATCAGGGATCAATATTTTTAATTATATACATAGTACAGAACTAGAAAATGAAGTGAAGCTCCATTATGTGATTTATGCAATGTGTAAATTAGAACTTGGTCCTAACACTGATGGACATGGTAATTCCCTGTCTTCCAGGTACAGAGATAGACACACACACACACACACACACACACACACACACACACACACGGTGGGGGGGAGATGGTTTGAGCTTTATAATCATTCTCAATAACATTAAAGTCTTGTTTGTACTAACACATATTTTCTAATATTTATCCGTTATTTTGTATCTCTTTTGAAACTGCAGAATAAACCACATTTGCTAATCAAATGAAATTAATTTTTTAATCAGCCACATGCATCATCTGTCTCAGTCTCATTGGCTTCCTCCTTGGGTCTAGAAACACTTACTGTTCCTTCCATTAGCACAGGAGAGTCTGTTCCTTCCTCTTTAAAATTTGATTCCATACCGATCACATCGTCAATGACATCCTCCACCTAGCAAAATATAATATAGTTAGAATATTGTGCATAATGACAAGATACAAGTGCTGTCTGACATAACAGAGAATTCTAATCATCTCTAAAAGTTTTTACTATTTAAATTGAAGACACATATTTGCCTAGAATATTTCAAAAATGAAAATTACAGTGTTCTGACACACAAGTTTGTTTTTCCTTGCATTTGTATCCATCATCTTATAGGTGACATCTTGGCAAAATACCTGGGTCATTCCCTCAGAAATCCCTATCCACATAAATAGAGTAGGTCTCATGAAATATGTCATGCCAATGCCCACAAACAATATGGAGAGGCATGCCTTTCTCCTGTTTTTACTTTTAAATATGTTTTTATTATGTACAGATTGTTATCCAGATGCCAATGGACAAATGATGTAAACTATAGTACATGTAAATATTGTCCCAACTTCTCTAATGACCAGTAAATAATAACAGTAACAACAATAATAACAACAATAATCATTCAACAGTTAACAATAGCAAGCACTAATATTGCATGGGATGTGTCAAGCATTATTCTAAGTGGAGCATACATGAGGTCATTTAATATTCACAACAATCCATTATATGGTTAGTATTATCATCTCTGACATTTTGACATTTTGCAGGACAGAAAACAGAAGTTCAAAAGTTTGCCCAAGGGGATGTAGTGAGCTACAGAAGAAGGCCTGTCCTCCCAGAGCTCTGCCTCAGTAGTCCCAACAGCATTTATTAGCATTATAGTCTTTCTCAACTCCTTTTGAAAATAATCTTCTTGCTCTACATGGAAAAAATGTAAACTGATGAAGATTTTTTTAAAAACATAAGAGATTTTTCAAAAGACTATAATCTCTCTCTCTCTCTCTCTCTCTCTCTCTCTCTCTCTCTCTCTCCTCTCTCACTGTATTTTCTTTAGTAAAATTGTACAATATGAGATACCTTGCATAAGGGTAGTGTTGTAACTCCCCATAATATAGGCAGAAATAACTACACTAGTTAACTACACTACTACTAGTTACAGAAAATACTTTGTGATTCTACTAGTTGGCTACTGGTGTTACTTTCCAAGTAACATTTTTGTGAATTTCAGTCAACTGTTGCAAGAATTCTACTAAGATACTCTTTAAGATAATTTGCCAATAAATCAATAAATCAGGGCTGGTTTTTAATTCAGCAGTACAAGCGCCTACCTGCCAAGTACAAGGTTGTGAGTTCAATTCCTGACACCAAAATAAATAAGTAATAAAAAGATATATCAGAACGCTATTCATATATTAATTTACAAATTTTATGAAATGATGCTTACTGTGAAGATTTGTTTTACAAACTGCTTCTCCAATAACCAACATTTGAACCCCTCATAAGGCTCAAAGTCTATTAAAAAAGCAGACCATAAATTTCAGAAACTATAGATTGAGAGAGCCAACTGAACTCACTCATTTGCCAAAAAAAAAAAAAGTAGTGATTATTATTAGCACAAATTTGACTTAGCAGCTGGGCATACAGTTACAGGACAGGAAAAATATCTAAATAATACTTAAAATATGCTGTGAAACTGCCACAATAAATATATTGTTTTCTATATAAGAATTTCCATGAAAACTCAGGATCGACACCAAATCAAGGGGCAGAATTAGCAGGTAAAGCACCTTACAGGGAAAAAAACCTGAGATCGATTTTTAAAGCAAATTGGAATTATTTGGGCATACATCTGAGAATGAATGAAAGGGAGGTAGAGAAGTGATATAAGCAGGAGAGCCCGGCCATCGTCAGAACCACCAATAAATCCTTAAAGCAGAAGCACCATGGAGCGCGCAGTGATGGGTTTGGGCAGATAGACAACTATAAGACTTCCAACCCTTCCAGCCGTGCAGTTCTTTGACTGAGAACAACGGAAGGACCACTGGGGCTGCAAATACATGTACAAACTTACTATATGCACAAAGGTAAAGTATATAGAATAAAGAATAAAACTATACTAAAAGAAGGTCAGGGATATAGCTCAGTGGCGTAGTGCTTGCCTGGCAAGGGCAAGGTCTTGAGTTCAATTCCAGATATATATATTCGCAGAAAACTGATATGTGTTTCTTATCTCTCTGAATATTTAGAAAGCATGTTTTTTTTTTTTCTGGGTTTTACCTAAAATTAAAACTGACTAAATTGACTGGTAAATTCATCTCCTTTGGGACTTTCTTCCTTTAAAAATCAATCTTCCTTATAAGAAAATGAACCTTAGAAGTGGCTGTAAGATAAACTATACTGAGTACAATTCTAATATTTACTATGCAGATGTTTTTCATCTTATATATATTTTTATGAACTTCACAAAATGAATACATAATTTGGTTTTACAATTCTATTTTTTAAATTCTTAACATAGCCATTATTAAAAGTTTAAGTAAATGCATGTATAGAGATTTACATTGTTTTGGGTTTCAGATTCTGTTGTGTGGTTGCTTTATATTTCACTTAAAATCTCTCAGATTCTTATTCTTTTATTTTTACCAGATTGTTATAAAATTTGTTTTTAAAAATCTTCCCCTAGCACATGGTTTCCAAAACAATGTTTTGAGAATGGTTTGGTTGTGCCAGGAAGCTGCACTATCAATAGCTGAAAAGTATCACCCTCAAATCAGTCATAAACACCAGGAATTTAGATTAGAAGAGTAACCCAGGGAACATGTCTGCAGATTAACAAATAAAATGGAAAAACAGAACAAAAAGTTCCATTTTCAGTGCAGTTCTTCTACACTGAAATATTTAAAGTCTTTTTCAAAGTTCTCGTTGTTTTTAGTTCTATTTATTCTTCGGCACTTTTTAAAAATTCATTTAAAAGCAAATCACTGTAAACAAATTCTATAACGCTAGACATTCTTATTTATTTCATATCCTCAGTTCTATTAAGTTCTCATTACTTAGCAAATGATAGACAAAAATTTGTTAAAAAAGTAAACTAAGGTATTGAAAATCAAAAGTAAAAAAACAGATAAAATCTACTAAAATATTAAGTATAGCAAAGTCATTAGTGTCATTCTAATAAATACTTTCAAAGCACAAATTTACTGTCATTCAGATCATTTTTGTCTGCTTTAATAGTTATATTATCTGGCAATATAACTATTAATAAAAATTTTAACTAAAGTTACTTTAAATACTTCTACAATTAGAGTTAAATCTTCTAAATACATTACATTACTGTAAGTGAATGTTTTGGCCCTTATTGGTACTTAATCAAAATGAGTTAAAATGAATTGTCATAATTTATTATGCATAATTGTCTATAACTAATGATCACAGATTATTTAAAAACATAATTCTACTGTTAAATTAACTTGCATTTAGAATGTTTATGGTAAGTATTGATTTGAATTTCTTTAAACAATGTTTTTCTCAAAAGCTGAAGATAGTGTTTATAATGCCATTAGACATACATGCCATTCCACTTTGCCATCCTGTCCAAGAGCTAGTAACTTGGTGACTGGATTTCCTGCGAGGCCAGTGCCACTGTTAGGACTTGTGCATCCATGCTGTGCCAGAAGGCCACAGCTTGTTGTGGTAGCGTGTGGCTGTTTGAGAGTCTGACTGATGATTTGGTGGTCAAGGGTCATGAAGGAATTTACTTGTTGTCTCTGAGCCTTCTGAAGCTGAGGCCTTGCAGGACTTTCCAGATGTGCTGAGATCTACAGAATCAAAATCAAACACATACAATATTGAGCATGATCTGGTGAATCAAAGCTCTCCTTCTAGGACTTGAGCCATGAGTAAACACACAGTAACAACCAGTTTTTTGCAGACCTATGGTCTATGATTGTGTCCTAAGTTAACACACAAATTTAATGGACTACAGTTTTTAAGAAATAATTTAAACTACTAAGACAACTTCAATACTAATCAGTTTTTTAAGTAACTACCTCAACAATTAGGAATAAATATAAAAGCAACAGTACTTTCAAGAAAATGAAAGACCTAACCAAACAGAATGGCAAATGTACTTGATTTCCTATTATGAATTTTTATATAATATATGTTGTTGTCTTATTTTATAATTACAGAAAATATCAGTGCACTATAACAAAAACTTTCCAATTAAGGAAAATTAAAAATTGTCCATGAGGAAACAAAAACTAGAGAACTAAAAATGTTTATACAATTATCAAGTGTGATACTCTTTTCTGTATTTCTAAAGTTTCTACCCTGAGATAACATCTATAAAATTCTAATTTGGAAACCTTTCCAGAGTACAAGCTATAAAATAATAAACTAGTAATGTCATTACTATGAACTGACAGATATGAACACTTAGAAAGACATCTAACCCCTGTCATATGTAAACTAAACAACAGACCTGCCTTTTGAAATATCTTTTACAAAACTTGTTGTTAAAATTGTAGGCATTTCCAGTTCAGTTATTGTAGTTAATTTTATCCGATTATTTATAAAAGACAATTTTAAGGAACTCAAGCTTTCCTTTCAACAGGGTATGAATATAGTATTGCCTGCCAGTTGCCTTTATATTTACTATGCTGCGATGTGGCTTCTAATACATTTTCCTCAAGTGGCCTATATATAAACTTAATATTTCCCTCATGTTAAACAATAGCAAAAATTGCTGCACAGTGCTTATTTTTCTTTTTATTTCAGTTATACAAACTACTCCTTAAATCCCTTAACATGCATTAGCCTAGATAAATAGCCTTTACACAGTATTTTGCATTTAAATTAGCTGGTTTGGGATACAATATTGTAGTAGTTACTTTAGTTTAATTCTGTTATACTGACATTTTTAGCATTATTTTAATTGTAGTACCATAAAATAATTTTTCAGTCATATAAAAAAGATTAAGATTGGTAATAAAGATTACACATATTACTAATTATATTGCTATGAGCTTGGAGTTGTAAAATAACATTTCATTAAAATGCCAATGGCAGTTTTTTAAAGGTAGCTATTTATATTATAAAACAGTTTTAAGTGAATACCTCTTAATCTGTATATATTGACAAAACCTATGTTTTAAGGAACATATTCCACTTTAAAAATCTAAATAATTTTTCAAATTATGTAACTGAATGCTCAAGAATGTTATATTCTAACAAAAGTAAAATATTTCTTACCCTAAGGAAAGCAGGCTAAATCAGAATTTACAACAGTTTGGGATTTTTTTCTCTTTGTTTGTTTGTTTTGTTGGGGTTTTTTGTACTGGATATTGAACTCAGGATCTTGTGTTTGGCAGACAAGTAAAATATTTATTAACTAATTTTTTTTTCACTTTTCATCCATTGATTCTAAAAGCATTTATTGGAGCACATACTCTTCTGGTTATTCAAAAGTACAAGATCAGCTGTAGATGTGATCCTAGGATCCTAGAAGTGTACAATCTACCAGGCAGCATTAATATCAACTATAGCAGCAACAACTGTATAATAATAATAATAAGCAACAGGTATTAGGCACTTTGCCAATTTGCATATATAATTTAGTTTATTCCCTGTTGTAAACTTTGGATAGATATCACAGACCCTACTACACTGCACGGACAAGGAAACTGTGATGCAGAAAAGTGGCATACCTATTAACATTCAGCTAGTGATGCACGACATATTTCTATGTATATGAAACATACTGGAAGAGAAACACAAGCTTAAATATCACATGGTTGCTGATATGAAAGCTTCAAAATATAAACAGAACAAAATAAAGGATCGATAATAAGATGTGATAACAGATTTGGCACATAGGAAGGATATTAAGAGATAAAAGGAGGGAAGAGATGGGAGGAAGTGAAGGAGTTGAAGAAAAAGAATTAGGATGTGTCATGTAGATGTGCCAATTTCCTGAAAAGAACATAATCACTATGTATTCGAAACATGTACTAATAAAAAATTTAAATTTAATAAAGTCAAAACAAAACAAAACAAACCCTAGTTTTAGAAACCTAGGCTAGAAAATCTCAAATGGAAAGATCAAAATGGAATGACAAGAAGTTGAAAAATAGCTGTAAATCTTAGTTATACAAAAGAAGTCATATACTGCATTCTTCTGTTTCAAATAAACACTACCATCTTCTTACAGGCCACTCTACATGGAGATAGAATAAAATATGAAATGGGATGAACTGCAATTATACTTAAAATATTGTTTATTTTTAGGAAAATAGTCTTAGTTGGGAAAAGTTAGTACTCTCTTGTTCTATGTCTCTACAACATCCGTATATTAAACAGAGGAATCTAATAGTTTCACAGAGCAGGAAAAGATTTAATGAAATGTGATCACACTACTACTCAGAAAATTTGACTTTCCAACCATAGACTGACTTCAGAACAATGAAACAACTCAGTGTGAAACATCAGTCACACCATATGCAGCCAATTTTAAAATATGTTAAATTGCCTGAGTTATAAAAAAACATAAAAATATCTGTTGGATTCCTTTTCATGAATGTCCCAATATTTTGTAGAGTGAAATAAATCAAATTATAATTGTTATTGTACATTTATTTGCTTATCAAAGAAATCATATTTTAGTGTGAAGTGTGAGCACTGAGCAGTAAACAAAAAGTATATGAAGGCTAACAATAGTATCTACCCTCACATGGCTTTAGTCTTGTAACAGTCTGGATAAGGAAGGGAAAAAATGAGTTCCTGAAGGATAAGGATAGTATTTATCTTGCTGACTGCTCCACTGCTATACTTCCTGTAAGTAGCCAAGAGAATGACACAAAGCAGACATTTAAAAATATGTACGCATATATGTATAATTGATAAATGAAAAATGAGTCATTAGAATGCAGTGTATGAATGCAGTGTATAAGTATTATAGTGGCTATGGAGAGCTCTGGAAATTCACAAAATGAACACAATTTTATCTAGAATATCAGAGCAGCTATAGACTGTAATTTGTCCCACTGGACTGTCAAAGAGATTAAGACCACTGAAATACAGAGAAACTTTGTGTTATGGCTTGTATCTAGATGGGTCCCCAAAGCCTTGAGTAGTCATAGGTGGAGCTTTTCAGAAGTGGCTGCGTAAAAGTGTGTGATGCTGGGATCAAGGGTGTGCAATCCACTGATAGTTTGGTATAGTTATGAGTGTGGATAACAGGGAGGTCTATCCTGAGTGTGAATACTACCCATCTCCACATTTATACACTGCATTCATATACTGCATTCTAATGATTCATTTTTCATTTATTAATTACACATATATGTGCATGTATTTTTAAAGTGTCTGCTTTATGTCATTCTCTTGGCTACTTACAGGAATACAGTAATAAAGCAGTCAGCAAGGTTGCCTTCTCTTTTGGTGTAGGGGTTGACTGCCTGGATCACTGATCACTACAAACCCAGTCCTAAGTAATAAATTCTCTAGTATGCTGTCTTTCTGGTGTTCTGGGGCTCTCTTCTCAAAGCAGTCTTTTGCCTTTGCTTAGGCTACAAAACTGATGTTTCTTGTGATATCATCAGGCTATCTTTTCCATTGTCTTTTTCCTTTTTAGCAACAAAGTTCTCTTCTATTCAATCTTTGCAATCCACAGCTTTACTAGAACTTTTCTGGCCAAACTCAAAATATTTTAAATCATTCTGCTGGGCTCTTTGTTCTTGATTTTAAACAAAGATCTGGTTAAAAGCTCTGAAGCCATGCCACCACTTCAAAATTATACTGTCTTGAAGTTTCTTCTGAAAGATTAATTAATTAATTAGTTTCTTCTGAAAGATTAATTAATATCAGTCTCAGGCAAAGTCTCTGGACACAAGCAAATCTAGACAAATGTTTTGTCAAGTCCTTAAACAGGCAATGCAGACTTTCTTTCCAGTAGAAACCTTCTGAGCCTTGTATTTACAGCCAGCAATTGTATCAGCATTTTGGTCTCCTGAGCCCTAACCAGACTCTTCCATCAAGTACAGCTTAATGTATATCAGGGATGGTTCTTTAACCACCATCTCCAAAACTTTCCAAACTCTTCCTGTAAGCCAGTTCCAAAGGCTCCTGAACCACATGTTCAGATATAGTTATAGCAATGGCCCTATTTCTCTGATACCAAAATCTGTCAGTTACTGTTTTTTGTTGCTGAGATAAAGTACCCAAAACCAAAGTAAAGCAGAAAAGGTTGATTTTGGTTCACAAATTGAAAGGGTTTCAGTTCATAGTTGGTTGGCTCCAAGGCCAGGGAACATTACAGAGGAAAAATAATTCATAACAGATAGAAGGCAAGAGGGCAGCAAAGCAATGAAATAGCAAGAAAGCAGAGTCCTCTTTTGGTCTCTTATGTTCTATCCAGGCTACCTACCCATAAGGTGGGTAGCATCATCTCCACATGATACTGGTTTTAGATGCATGCCGAATGCAAGAGTTGTGGGATCAGGAAGACTTCCACTCAGATTTCAAGATAAGATGTTAGAAGCCAGGCAGCATGCTCTTAAGAGAGCTGTTTGTGAAACTGTGATTGCAAAGATAAAGGTAGAGTGGAGGACACAGAAGTTTGAAGAAACCAGAAATATAGGTCATCTAAGGAAAACTGAATAGAGTGAGCAATGCTAGCTCAAGAGAAAAGCCTGGGGATCTATAATCATCTGCATTGCTGTAGGGTCAGAGCCATCCAAGCCCTTTCCATCTTTCCATAGATTGCCTCAGACTGGACATAGAAATTCAAGACTTACTATTTGCCCTGCTAAATTTTGGG